CCGTAAAAATGCAAGACGAAGGTCTAAATCAATTTGTTGGCATATAAAACTTTTAGCCTAAGTGTAAGTTCGTTCTGATCTGCGATCTCATGATTTATTGGCTTTCACTAAGAATGTACCAATGCGTTGGCCCTGAATGCAACGCGAATGAGCTTTGATTTATCTTCCGTAATCTGGGGTATGCGATAGACTAACCTCCATGTGGTGCATCCTGGGCAACGTATACTCATACGGCAAAAGGTCTATTAACCGGCAGTTGACTTCTGACTTCAAACCACCATCACTCCACTGTAGGTCATATTTGACTACTTTCACAGTACTCATCTTACCTTTTTTCTACCTTTGTGCCTGTCTCTTTTACACCTTTGAAACACTCTTCTCTTCCTTCCCCCCCTCTCGAGTTTTTCACTTTGATTTTCCATCCCCTCTGTGAAGCCTGAAGTCAACTAAAGGGTTAATGATAACCATCAAAACGCCTACCATTTGATATAAAAAAATCTTTCGTAGTCTCTACAGCAAAATAGCCCTATATGGGAGGGCTACCCACCGAGATATGGAGAAAATGGAGGGGTATAGCAAGTGTAGGGTCTATTGAACTGGTACTCATAGCAAACATGATAAGTTCATTGGATGCCTTTAACATTAACTTGAATGAATACAAGTGGATAGCTAAATAAATGAGAAGACCTCTGAAAGCACCGCCGTTCCCTCCAGAATATTCTAGTGCGGGTGAGATTGCTTTGTTAAATCGCGCTGAAATTGCATACTCCACCCAGTAAACAACTTGTTGAGTTATTTACAAATACCCAAACTTTGAAATAACCATGCAGCAAAAAAAATGGTGGTTTATATAATAAAAAAATGTCAAAATTTTTTTTTTAATAAACTGGCACTTCACTGAACTAACCACATTGATTGTAATGTCCATAAATAAGAGCAATTTATTCTCCAATACCATGGGAACTTTCAAGGTCCGCAAAGAGGAGTGTTTGTTGAATTTGAAAGGATTGTATTCGCAATCCTCCCAACTCGCTTTTTGATCAAAAAGAATAGGCATCCTGTGGCCATAGTTACAGCAAGTAGACCAACTTCGTTCGCATTGATTTCCACGGTCCAACCACCCCCTCCCCCTTCCCCCCCCCCTCACTCCCACTACCACACTCCATCCAAAATTTAAAGCATTCTTTTATGCTTCCACAAATACTAATCATTAAAATGGTTGTTAACAGAGTATTCATTATTTAAAGGATTTGTAAGTCAGATTCAATCGGGTCTATATGTTGTAGAAATAATTTTGCAGAACTTTCAATAGAGTTTATAGCTCATACGTCGATTTACTAACTTTGCCTTTTCAGTTTGATAACAAAATCGCGATAAATAATTGAGAAAAAATATAAAATCAAGGAAGGCATAGTTACCATGATTTAAAATGTCAAGATGCCGACTCTATTTAAAGCAGTTCAAGACAAACTGACATGGCACGAGGAAGGATCGAGTAATGCACCAATGACCATTGGATTATGTCAAAGAAGAAGATTTTTAGCACAAAAATGATAGCAGTAAATGACATAATATAATTTCAGTAAAAATTCTGAATGAGGACGGACCTCCTGCGATAAATCGACTCAAATTCGTCCATTAAAATTTTTTCATAAATGGTCAAAAAATTTCTATTTCAAAGTATGCCCAGAAAAACGGTCATTTGTCTTACGGTTGTGATAGTAGAATATTACTCCTCAGCATGAACAGATGTAGATTAATAACACTGAGTTTGCTTGATATTGCGTCAATACAAATCCTTGCAGTAAAGAGCAACATTTACTCCAGGTTTAACTGATCAAATCGAACCAAATCTGAAGCCATGTAATACGCCGATATTTGAAAGGAAAAATTATTCTTAAAATGTTGTACAGTAGAATTGTCGCAAATTACCATTTAAATGTTCCCAGATACAAATAGTTAAGGTTTTAGTTATGTAAATCTAAAAGTCAAAATTTAAGCTCTTGATACATCTTTTATCCTTAAGGAGAATGACTCAAGGGTAATTTTTCTCTACTTTCATATGATGCATTATAGATAGCTTGCATTGATTATTCTGAATTATGCTTTGAAGCAATAAAAATAAATTATCGTTTCCCTTTGCAAACATTGTTCAAAGGGTAAAAGTACTAGCTTAAATAGTCAATATACGTATTAATTTGGCCAGAGAACTGAAAAGAATTTGCTATTTTCGACTATTTATATTATCTCAAAGTTAATCTAATGGACAATATAAATAGATCTCATGAATTATTCAAGATTTGCATAAATAACAGAAACATGAAAAAGCATAATTTATACTGAACTAACTGCTTAGAATTAGAGTAACGGTTTAGTATACATAAAATATCCTCCATAAACCTGTAAATTTTAATTTCAGTTACGTAAACCTTTATCATCTTTTACTATTAGTGAAATCTATCATGGTAATAAAATAACGAAGTTAAATGAAATGGTAAACAAACAAACTGTTACGTAACACTTTGGACACATTTTCAAAGACATCATTGTTATGTCTAATGTAAATACTTAATTTTTCCAATTACATTTAGATCACCACTGGAGCTTAATCTAGTAGGCACTTGCCATGATATGCACAGTGAAGCTTTTACTTTGCAGGATGAGCTCTACTAATACGAAATTAAGGGATATGCCAATCCGATTTTCTGTAAGTTCTCAACGCTATGTGAAATAGCTAAAACAGCCGAAATATTCACCATTTGAATCAGTGAAGTAACAGTTCTTTCTTTGTGATTCAAATATGAAATACGTCAATAATGATGAAATTTCCTTGTTATTTCTACCGCTTCAAAATACTTTATCTCAAATAGATAAATTAAACTAGAACAAAGTTTTGTGGTTCATGATAATTGTAAATCACAAAATAATCAAATTTAAAATATTTATTGCAAACAGTGTTTCATAAGCGACAAATTTTCTACGTAGTTATAACATAATTTATCAAGTTTATTAATATGAGCTAACTGAGTTGTTGACCTCTGTCATCAACTTTGAGACGAAATAAAAGTGTGGTCTTGTGGTCTGAAGTTGTCTTGTGAGAGTGTGGCACCCATATCAGTAGCTTGTTAACGTCGTTCATTATTTTTCTTAGTTCCTGGAGCTGCTTGCCTAAATTTGTATAATTTATTGATGCTTTTATTTTTATTATGTTAAATCATCTACTTATTTACAAAAAATGTTAAGGATTCATGAGCAAAGCTTAATAATTATTTAAATATCACTGTTTTACTTTAGATAAATTACTATTTACGACTATGCTTGCTGAAAATCAGATGATTATTGGTGATCGCCATATCGGTTTCCTTGGTTCAGGCATGATGGCCCAAGGTATCTGCAAGGGACTTCTCAGAACCGGTAAATCTTAATTTCCCATTTGGTTACATTTGTTCAATTGCTGATTTAACTCTTATTTTAATTTAGGTCTCGTCAATGGGACCCAGGTTACTCTTTCTGACAAAGTTGTTCAAGGACAACCTGTACGCCTAAATGTTTTCAATATGCTTAGTCCTCTATTAGTGTTAATCTCTGTATTTTATTATTTTAGATGTATGCAAATATCGAAGAAATCATTAAAGTATGTTTTATTACTAGTTCACGAGGCTATCTTTGTTTAGCATTGTTAATAAATTATCTTCTCGTCCCTAAAGCAATATGGAGTAGAATACACTACTGATAACGTTTTGATGGCTACCAAGAGCGATATCATCTTTGTCTGCGTCAAACCTAACCTTGTTCCACTCGTTCTTCGTGAATGCGCCTCCGTAATTGGGAACAAGCTTGTCATTTCCATCGCTGCAGGAGTCACTATCGATAGTATAGAAGGGGTGGGATTTTATCTATTACCCATTTCGAGATTATGCGAATGTTAATTATGTTTGGTTATTTTCTCGCAGTGTCTCACCCCAGGAGCTCGTGTTATTCGTGTGATGCCAAATATGCCCTGCTTGGTTCAACAAGGAGCCGCCATTTTTACTCGTGGTCATAATGCTACTGACGCCGATGTCAAAGTAGCAAAGCTCCTCTTGACTGTAATAATGCCCGTTGCTGAAGAGATTCCAGAGTATCAAATGAATATTGGTACTGCTCTTTCTGGTTGTGGTCCAGCTTATGTAAGTTTCATCGGCCTTCCATAGATTAGGTCTACCTATCGCTAACTAAGATGCTCAGTGTACTATCCTCATCCCAGAGTTAGAATCTAGAATACCTCTCCAGTATGAAAGAATGTGGAGCTGTGCTTTATTTACCACGGTATGTTGACCGGTATCTACTGGAGATTTTGATCAGCTAATGAGTTCAATTTAGTCAATGAAGTTATGTGATGAATTAACAACCAGTGACTGATGTTGCCATCAATAAGAAATAGAAATTCTGTGTTCCAGTGTCGAATGGATTAGTGACTAATTTCAAGATCAGGAGGGTTCTAATACGACGATCGAGGTGACTGATCGGTAGAGATTGCAGAATGAGTTGCTTATTTGAAGACTGGGTACGTAACTTTCTTTTATTTTTCTGCTTCAGGTTTGTATGATGATTGAGGGCTTGGCCGATGGCGCTGTTCGAATGGGCATGTCTCGTGATATGGCTCATCGGCTGGCTGTTCAAACTGTTCTTGGTACAGCTATGCTTATTCGTGATAACAATGTGCACCCGGCTGTTCTTAGAGTAGGTTTCTTTCACATTATTAATTTCTCGTTTTTTTACTACTTGTGTTCCTATCGCCATAAAAGTTTTAAGTTCATACGAAACTTTATGCAGAATTTACTCAATGTATAGATCATTATATAAAACTGGTCGATTGTTTCGTTTGCTTCCATATTTGAAATCAACCTGATCGATTAACTTGCCAGGCCAAATGATTATTATTACCTAGAAATATTCAAGGGAATTTCTTGTGTGTTACTCTATTTTCCCTCGAAACTATTTTTCATCTGGTTGAGTTGTTGAATTAAACTCAAGTCCAAGTATATTAGAACGGAAATGTTCTAGTGTTCTAATGGTGGTTTTCAACAAAGTCATTCCACTTATTGGTCTGTCACTGTTGAAGTACTTGACGCAAATAAGAGTTCCCTTTGGATGTCGTTTTATAAACTGCTAATTGGGTGGCCAAATAACTTTAATCTCACCTCTTGAATTCAATAGATATACCAATCTTAGCGTTTTATTACATTGAAATGGTGAACATCAACTTTAATATCTTCCAGGATCAGATCTGTTCCCCTGGTGGAAGCACAATTGCTGGAACCTTCGCTTTGGAGAAGGCAGGAGTTCGTGCTGCATTCAATGAGTGCATTGAAGCTGCCAAGATCCGTAATGATGAGCTTGGTGCTCCAAAGAAGTAAGAAAATGGAAGGACGACGTCAAATCTCGCCAAACTTTATGGGAGTTTGTTGTTACCCTCATTCGAATCTTAATAAAGCTAATTTCCTATTATAAGTGATTTATTTCATAAACAAGGTAATATACAATTGGTTTTGAATTAAATTTACTTTATACGGGGGAACATTTTGCAGCATTGATCTAATTATTATAATTTTCATAGTGTAATACCGCCTTAACTAGAAAATGTTCCAGAGGTCATTTAACTTCTTACAAATTTTTCCTTAGTCTTCTCTAGTTGTGCTAAAAACTTTGAAAGTATATTTACGTTAGAGATTTTAAGTTCACTGCCTGGTACTATCACCTTGAAATGCACAAAGTTGTCTGTCTGTTCCGTTGATTGCTTGTTTTCTAAACAGACGTAAAAATGTTCTAATTGCTGGTCTTTAAGAACGTGGAATTTCAAGTAGGTGATCTGGTAAACCGTTTTCCATCCTTAACTTTGTTCTTGCACAAAGGCCCTCAAACGCCTCCCACATAGGCCAATAGGTACACCCTTGATGGCACTGGCAATTTCACATCGATCTAACTCTAAACCCCTAACTTTATCATCTAGAAATTAATAAATGAAGCCTCAATATCTGTCCCTACTGACTCATAGACTTGCTCAGTCCCTAAGCTATTTTTTTGCGCTTATCTCTGATCTGTCAATTTTTCATCAACGAAAAAGGAACGCGAAGTTTGCAAACCGCCTTAGCATAACTCACTTTTCTCCTCTACTTCACCAACCGGCTCAGCGTTGACGCCTCCTTATTCCGCCCTTCCATTTCTCTTGCGGTTGTCTATTTAAGCCCTGGTCTTACTTACCTCTTGGTCTTCTTGAGAGACTTTTGTTTTCTGTTGGTTTTAAAGACGATCATAGGGCTTTAGGAGGGCATAGCCATCTTAACTTTGAATTAGAGCTAATTGAAATCGAAAGATTTGTGGGGGGTGGGGATGGGGGAATATGAGTAATTTTTATGCTATTTAACGAGATAAATCTGCGGTGCCGTTGTCGAGGCTTTCGTTAAGTTCTTTTATCCCACTATTCAGAGTATTTCGTCCTTTTGTGTCTAAAGTACAACAACACCGAGATTACTGGCTTGTACTTGCCACTTATTCCATTGAAGGTAAGCTCCTCTATGTGGGGCTCTTTCTGTGAAGTGCAAACGTGGACTAGGCATCGATACGAAAATTGCGTCGAGGTGCAAATGAGGTCACAAGTGCAGTCCTCTCTCTCTCGACCAATCAATGATCAATAGTCATTTTAGGATTATCGTACCAAAATAGTATTTAATGATTACGTGCCAACTCAGGCAAATAAACGCGTTCCACACCATACGTCCATTTCGTCTATATCAGTGAGGTAGTTTAGCTAACCTCCAGAGCTTTCCATTACAAGAGGACCTTATTATAAGGGATTACTGAGAATAATTCAGGTCTTATTATTATTATTGCCCTTTCTCTTTCGTAGTTCATTTCTTCTGGATGCTGATGTGAAACGTGCCTGGTTTGAGAGGGCAATTGTCTATTGGTGGCTTTTACCATAAGAGTGTCATATCTGTTTAATTTCTTTTCTTCTCTGTGTTTGATTTCCATTCTTCGAAATACCTTAATGTGAATTCCCAATGCATTTAAACCTTATTGATCAATTCCTCTCCCCGGGTCAATCAATTGGAAATGAATTTGCCTGACATTAAAATTGACTTAATTCAATTTCATTGAAGTAATTGACTATTACCTGTTCCTATTTAAGTTAACTAACATGTCACCAATTGTATCCACAATTTACTCCTTTAACTCCAAAGTATTATACATATTTTGAAATTTCGCTGTTAGGTCTAAAAATTCAGTTTTACTAATATTGAATCAAGTAGTATATGCCAAGTTCTTTAAAATTGACTTAACATACACTTTACCTCAAAATTTTGGATTTATTATTATAGATTATTTTAGTAACAATTTATGAACTATTAGGTAATTGAAATGACATGAATGGGGATAGAATTAGTCGATAGTATTATTATTACATTTATGGGTAAATTAATTACAATAAAGTCCTCAATACGTGGTCTTTGCTTGTTACCAATTTAATCGAAAAAAAACTATATTAACCATAATCCATCGCATTAGTGAATCCTAGTGGGCAATGATAAGTACACAACTCGTACCTTTAGAGAAGCACTTCATTCCAAACTGCATATAGATAGGAAAGATTCATAAGTTATGGTAAATTCGAAAAGCTTTCAAAACGCGGAATTCACTGAAACGTGACCGTGAGTTATGGCTATTTAACCCAATGGAATATCACGTGGATCTGATTTGAAGTAAGTTAGAGGTTGATATGTGACCGCCTACTGTGATGCAACTGGCAAAATTGTTTCGTTAAATGATATGTGCTCAAAGTACATCGATTCATTAGTTAAGCAAAATAGCGACTAAGGTTGTCTTTACATTTTAAGAAGAGCATTTCTATTGACTTCAATCTCAGTTTCACTGAACTTAGCAATCTCCTACATTTCTGCAAGATGATACAAAGTTAGCGCATCTATACAATTAATTCACTTAAATAAATGTTTGATATTCTTAAATTTAAGACAGGAGATGAGTTTAAAATATGCAAAGTTACACATTTCCTTAATTTATCATTCTCTTTCAGGACCCAGTGATAACCTTTCAAAAGGCTTAAAACCTAGATTTGTCTTGTGCCTGTTTTTGGACAAACTATTTCTGTCTATCTATCTATCTCTCTCTCCCCCTATATTCGTCTTCGTGAAGGATTCTTATTCAATTATTCTTCTATAAGCAATTCATATAACGAATGAAATTTACCTTTACTAGCTGATGTCTACACGAGTGGTGATGGGCAGAGATCAAGGTGCTTGCTGTATCTACGTACCTAAGTTTATGGAGTCTAAATCTCTTATAGGGTCAACATTGATGACCAGTCTATTTTGTTTTGTGTATACCCAAATATGTAGGTTATTCTGTTTTCAAAATATTCAGGATTGATTTCTGAAATAGATGGCTGTTGTTACACCGAACAATGCAAACCCCCATTCGTTGAAACTGATGCGATATTTGTTATTTTTTTTGTTTTACCTAACAGCCCTGTTAACTAAGTCATAATCGATTCTGCCATCTAGTGTCTTAGAAAAGAATGTCTTATGGAGCGTTTGAATTTACTAATCAGACTCAAAAAAATATTCAATCTTTTAGATATTTCAATCTCCAATCTCAATGTAAATAAAGTTTATATCATCTTTCTACAATTCATATCTTTGATAAGAATATATCAACTCATCAGTTTTGTCCGATAGACTACGCGCCTTCTATAACCGAATTTTTTAATGGGTTTATAAAAAAGTTTAGGAGATTCTTCAATGTCTGCCCCATGCGAAAATCATCAAAAAACTTTCAATTGTTAATGTTCATTCAGGAATATTTTAAAAAATGTCGAACATTGTCATTAATAGAACAGCTAACTTCGTCCTACCCACTTATTTGCATGTCTAACTTAACAAAGAAAATGGATATTGCCAAAGTAGTTGGCCCTTTTTGAATGAACATCTACGGCAAACCAAGTAGAATCCGGGGAGTATAATTGTTGACCAAAACGTTTTAATTATGTGAAGCCACCTCTTCACAGGAATTCAAACAAAATTTGTGGAGTTCAAGGCTACCAGCTGTATAAGAGCATTCAAAGTAGGGAAGTCAATGTTCGTAGCCTAAAATACTTCACTACTACTCATGCGCAAGGATAAAAACGAATTTTAAGATCCCAATTTCCTTCTGTTTTAATTCTGAAGAAAGACAATGATAGTTAAAACGTCTCATTTAGGAATTTCGTCTTCAAAGTTGACGCTGGGTTCAGTGCACGACTATTCTTTGAGCTGAGAAGGGAATAAGTAATTATTCCTAATCTGCTTACCATTTGGTATAATTCATGCTATCTTTATTAATAAATATCTATTGAATAAAAGTTAGACGTGCTAATTGCGAAAAATCAACAATACAAATAACTTTTTTCATATTTTATCTACTTTAACCTTAGTTAAGCATCTCAACCGAAACTAATTAAAGTTATTTCAAATGGCAGGCGTTATGATAGGTATCATTAGCCCTTTAGTTGACTTCGTGCTTCACAGAAAGGAAGAGGAACGCCAAAGTGGCAAAAAGTCGAGAAGGGGGGACAGAATAATGATTCCCAGACGTAAAAGAGACAGACACAAAGGTAGAAAAATGTGAGTACTGTGGAATTAGTCGAATATGAAATGCGGCGGGGTCTTGGTAGTTTGAAGTCAGAAGTCAACTGCCGATTAATAGACTTTTTTGTCGTATGAGCATACGTTGCCCAGGGTGCACCACGTGGAGGTAAGTCTATTGCACACCCCAACTAATTAAAGTAGAATATTCCATATTTGTTACTTAAATTTTATAAGTAGATGGATAATTGAATAGTAGAGTTTAAGATAATTGGAATTTAAATTCGACGTATTTGCAGCATTGATTCATTCAAATTCAACAATAGAAAATACTCACAATAATTTATCAAATTATTTGCCTTTGAATATTTAAAAATAACTTTAGATCTATTTAGATCTACATATATAATTATCACTGACATGGTAAAATCCCGGTACTATGAGGTGGGTGCTTTTATCAGACGTGTGCGATTTCACCGTAGTCCAAACTGGAGCACTAGTTGATCTTCTGAGGTNTGCAGGCATGCGATGACGTGTCCCACAAACTTATAAAATCAAATATAATTATACAGCGTCGCATTTATCCAAAGGTAGCCCATGAAAGTATTTCCTTACGATTGTTCAACAAAAGAAATATATATAATATCGAAGTTCATTCGAGGAAACATTTATTTATTTATATCAAATGACAGGCGTTTTGATTGT